GTCATTGAAAGTGAAGTGCACGAAATAAGCTGTGACATGGAAAAGGGCTGTTTTTTTAGTGTTCTTTAGTTTTAAAACTTATTAATTATAATATAAAAATAATTGAAAGTGTTAATACATAATGAATAACCAATAAATAAAACCTCATTTAAATTTTTTGGATATCTTTACTGGTTTAGCGGGAATACGGTTTCAAAGTTGTACTATGCTGCTGCACGAAATAAGGTGTGAGCCACTGTATGTATAGATAGCTTACATATGCTTTGTTTCTTCTATATTTTCCCTAGTATCAATAATGTTGTGAAAGCTCATAATGATCTTTGTGTCTAAACCGACAGAAATCGTTGCACAATTCATTACAAATGTAATATATCTCCCATATAATATATTCCTTACTTAAGTAATTCATTCACTCAAGATATGTGATCTTACGTTAGTATTAATTACATTGTATCCAGTTTTATTAACTGTCAGTCCCCCAAAACGCTTGCATAGCTAATTATATTTCTAATTGTTTTCCGCTTGTTGAAGATCACGATCTCTGTAGATTTATAGCTAAGCATTTGACGGAAGTGCGAATTTGGATAGGAATGGGGAAGAGGCTAGTGGGCTGGGTCTGTGTTTACCTCAGTGAAACAACGTCCCGCCGTAATGCGTAAATAGAATCGAATGCTCAGCAAGGTGGCCACAAAGGCCGCTGTGAGTGTTATGATGCACATATCGCGGACATAATGATCGCTTGGCAACCAGGCCAAGACGAAACCCATTGCTATAAATAATATTGTGGACAGCATTATGTATATTATATGTGTATGTATATGTCTATGCAAATTAGATTATATAATACAATGATATTCATTCAAATCTGAAATTCAAAACACGTTTTCTCGTTTAACCAGCTCAAGATCGAACCAACAGCAGCAAAGACAACGAAAGATCTCTGGCTAATTTAACACTTGCCAAACGAAATCATTAACGAAATTACATAAATTGTTCATGAAGAAAACTAAATTCAAAATCAATATAATATATTGGAAATTTTATACTTTCACTTTTCATATGAGCCCGATAAATAATTATGAAACGGATTTTTGATGCGCTCGTCGAGGCCAAAGCAACGCGCAGTTCATTGCCGTTACACAGGTAGGCAAAAGAAAGCCACAAATTTGTAGCTGCTGTTGCTGCTGCTGCTGCTTCTGTTATTGTTGTTGTTATTGTTGTTTTCTCTTCTCTGTCTCTTCTTGTGTTTTTTCACTGTCCACGTCACTAAAAAAAAGTTGCCTGACTTGGGTACGTATTGGTTAACTGGTTACGCTTCTATGCTTCAATAACTGCAACTTCTTCAAGCTAGAATTGACCCGATTTTTTGCTGGCTGCCTTCCTCTTTTTGGCAACAAAAATGCTTTAAAAAAGTGCCTAGTCAGCAACTCACCTGTTTGATTTATATATGAGCTATATATTTATGACTGTAGATTATATTATTGCAAACGCTGTAGATTTGTACTTTGAACTAGCTGTGGAATTTTAATGCCAGATCCAAAACTCGACTCCAATCACTACCTTCGCCTTGAACGCTTGCTCTGCGACTGGCTGAAGAGACGCGCAGCTGAATGCGTCTCGCGATCGAAGCTGTGAGCATTGCTATTGTCAAATAGCCGTAATAGTTGTTATTTATGGCTGTGCTTCTTGTTGTTGTTGCTCACTTGCTGATGGCCGGCAAAACAAGTTGAAGCTCAGCTTGGAGCTGTCGTCAAAGAGCGCGCAGAGAGTGTAGAGAGCAAGAGAGAGATAGAGCGTCTGCTGCTGGGCTTTTTCTTTCGTTGACTTTTCTTTGCGTTGGTCTTCCGCTAGCTGTGGCATAGAGTGCAGGGCGGAGAGAGCGAGAGAGAAAGTGTTGAAAAGAAACTTTTAAAAGCTCTGCAATTGTATGATAAATGCATAGCGAAAGCTTTTAAGCTATCTTAAATTATTATTAAATATTCAAGCATTGTAGTTATTTTTTGATATTTACTGCATTTTATACCTAACAATTTCATTTTTAAATGCATATGAAATTGAATGAAAATATTAAGTGGTTTAAAAAATTGAAAGTTTACTTCGTAGAAACTATTTAGTGGCTAGAGGAGTTTAAAAAGTTCGTTTGTTTTCAAACTTTCTATGAATGTAACAGGCGGAATTTTCATTGTCAGCTTTTAAAAGCACATATATAAAATCGTCTATTAAAATGATAAATTATATGTATATTTTTAAACAACAAATTAATTAGCTTTGTATTATTTTTACAAAAATAATAGAATAATTTGATAATGTTTATAAAATAATATTAGTAGAGAGTTGACTAAAAATTGTGGGAGATTGAAGATTGATAGAAATATAAAAATTAATTTATTTAAATTAATATATATTTATGCTGGAATGGAAAGTTTTTCAGGCCAACTTCGTATTGTATGTACATACATATTTACATCAAATTTCACAGATTTTTCGCAAACAAAAACCCCTAATTAATGTGTCTATACTATGTGAATCTTTCACTTGTCTATGGCATTCTCGACTCGCACGGCGGCAGTGTGAGAAGGTGTTGGCTCGCTATCCAGATGCTTCGCCAGGGTGTTGTACCACTCGTTCATGTGGCGTGAGATAATGCTCATAAACTTGGATACCTTGGACTTTACGGTGGTGACAATGTTGTCGGACAGCGTGGTGATCTTGCGGCAGTTGGAGCCTTGAGCTTTTGTGTTGGTGATCTTCATGATTTTGGAGTCGGGTTTCTCTGGCTCGCTGGCTGGCGTCACCGTGGGCAGATCCACTTTGTACTCGTATACTGAATAGCGCCCCAGGGGCAACAGCTCCTGCTGGTCATCCTTGTGAATCACATTCGAGTTGAGAGCGGCGTCGGCATAGTTGAGGGGCTGGGGCAGGGCACGACGGCGTCTGAATGCCGGCATATCCCACCAGGAGGTGATGCTCTCATCGGCTGGCTTCTTCAGTCGCTTCGGCGCGGGCACAGGCTGCCTGGGCTTGGCACTGAAGTAATCCTCCTCATTGTCATTGCCAGGCAGCAGCTTGGCCTCCTTCCGTGGCTCCACCTCCCGCTCCGGATCGTCGGACTGCTCCCTGAAGCTATCGCCGCCCATTGGGAACTGCTGCTCCCGCTGGCTGTGCTCATGGATGTGGCTGAGGAAGTGCTTGCCGAGCTCGCGCTGCGCCTGCAGAAAATCCGTGGCCGCATTTCCGCTCTTAGCCGAGCGTTTTCTATTGCCATCGCCCTCCACGCTGTCCACATCCGGGTCCAGTTCCTCCACCTGCTTGCTGTTGTTGCTTGGACTCTTGCTCACGGAGGCCTTGTTGGAGAAGGGCTCGGGGAACAGCAGCGAGTTCAGGGTGGCGCCCAGATTCAGGCGCTTGCTCTGCTTGGGCGCCGGTGCCGGCAAAGCCTCGAAGAACTCCGTTGGTAGGAGACGCAGCTTTTGACGTTCCTGAGTTTTGGGCGCTTCGGGAACTTCCTCCATTTCTTCCTCTTCCTGGGAACGTTGTAGAATCTTCAAGGGCTTGCCTTTCGATTTTCTGCGTTTCTTGTATCTAATCGGCTCGGGATCGGGCTGCATTTCGCTCTCCTCGCCGTCGGGGCTCTCGATGTGCTTCAGATGGACATCGCCCTCGGGCAGGCGGCTGTACGGCGGTGGCTCGGGCTGTTCGCCCATTTTCTTGAAGAACTCCTCCTCGTCGAACTCGGCCAGATCGAAGAGCGGCTTCACCTTGCGCTCCGGCTTCCGTATCTCTGTGATCTTCTTGGTCACCGTCGTCTTCTTGCCATGTCGATTGTAGAAGAAGGGCCCCGCGTAGTCGCTGGGACTGCGTCGGCTGCGCCGGTGCCGCAGTGCATCCCTGCTCTGTTCCACAACGTTCCGCAGCCAGTTGAGTGCCTCGCAGGGACGCACAGCTTGCGACTTGGACTTCGCTTCGATTTTCACCTGCCGCTTGACGGGAGCAACTGCAGCCGGCTTCTGGCGCGGCACTCGATTGAACGGCTGCAACAGCCGGCCCAGCAACGTTTCAGGCACCTCCAGCTCCGGATTGTCCAGCACGAAGCGTCGATGGCGATTGAGCGTGCTCTGCAAGGAGCCACGCGAGACGGCCGTCTCCTCGATCAGGCGCTGCAGCAGGCGATCCGCCGAGCTGTAGCCACTGGCACTGCGGCCATCGGGGGAGCTCTCGGCGCTGACATTGTCTGCCTCGACCTCGGAGTACTGGCAGTGCTCCAGATTGACGCTGGGCAGCACCCAGAAGCCCACCGACATGCTGGGCGTGATCAGCTGCAGCGGCTTGCTGGAGTCCTTCCCAATGACCTGCGGACGCAGCGTGGAGTTCAGGCTGAGTTTAGCATTGTTCAGACGCATGCGCCCGTTCTCCGAAGTTAACACGTATTGCCAGATATCGCTGTTGGATAGACGACTCGTGCTGCGCACGGTGATCGTGGTGGGCTGCTCCTCCGTATTGACCACCATGAAGGCCAATCCTCCCGAGACAGCGTTCGCACAATGCGTGTACAGTTTGTTGGTGGGCGCAAAGACATTGAGGGGGCGTGCCGGAAAGACGCGAGAGCCCATCACCTTCTTGAAAATGGCCGTGACATAGTAGCTAAAGTTCGGCCGCTCGAAATCCTCTAGAGACATGCGCTTGAAGACCACATCGAAGCCGCCGCTGGCCGCATCGCCCAAGGTCTGGGCCCAGCGCAGGGCATCCGTTGTATCATCGCCGAGCAAGCGCTTCTCGATAGACTGCGCTCCCTTGCGCTCGTCCGGCAGCGTCAGCCACAGTGGGACACGCTGTTGCTGCAGGGTCTTCAGGGCCGGATCGCTGTCGTAGATGTAGCTTCCCAGGCTGCTGCTGGGCAGCATGTTGGCGGGTCTGTGGATGTATTGGAAATATATGAGTTGGGATTACCTTATATACTCTCCCACTGCCACTCACTGCGTCCAGCCGAAAGCAGCATTCACATCCTTGGACATCTCCACGTATTTGCGCGTCTCGTCGGCGCTGCTGCCCGCTGAGATGTCCGCGCCCATCACACGCCAGCTATCCACGTACGGATTGAACGTATCCGTCATCAGCTTCAGCGTGTTCAGCTCCTGCACGTAATCCCTGGCGCGCGATGTGCCAAAATCTGTGCCCAGCTGCCAGATGCAGTCCGTGATGCCCACCATGTAGGAGGTGTTGAGGATCTTCAGCGTGTGCATCGAGTCCCATTCGTCGGGCGCATAGGGCACGGGTAAAATCATGGTCCAGTTAACAGCGCTTGAGTGGGGGATCAAGGAAATTGAAGCATCTCCTGCAGAGTAATCCTCGCCCGTTACTTACCGTGTCCAGCGATTGAAGCCCTTCCATATGATCTTGGTGGGATTGCGCAGACGCTGCGGCGCATTGCTGGCAAAGTAAAAGTCGCCCACGAACTTGACGTACGCATCGCCCAGCAGGGCAGCCATGCTGGTGACTGCCTTGCGATTCTTCCCATCGAGCGCATCGTACAGATCCTCCGGGCGCACAACAAAACTAATGAACTTCTCGCTGATATCGTTGTACGGACGATTCACATGCAACTGCACCAAGGTGTCCGCCTGGCAGACGGCCAGCAGAGCGAATAGCACTGGCCACAACATCATTTGCGGATGGAGACAACTTCACCGTAGCTCGTTGGCTGAACAACTGACCCAACGCTGGCCAATGGGAGAAACTAATAAGCTGGCACAGCCTAGAGTTTTGAATTCCAGAGTAGTTCGGTTCCATAGAAATCTGCTGCAATTGGCAAGAATTTTTCGCTGAGCGCTGCCCTCAATGCAATGACCTTTTTTACGCTTTCCACGGCAATCACGTCGCGTATGTGGGCCAACCACCAAGACCAAGAAAAATAACCAAAACCGAAAGCACACAAAGCACAAAAAAAGTGAACAAACACCCACTTTAGTTTGGTATGCAATTCATTTTAATTAATGGGCGTAACCCAATAAGATTACATAAGAGGCGGCTAGGCATCGTCTTCTTCGGACAGCATGGCCTTGAAGTTCAGCGGCTGGAACTCGTAGCCGGAGCCGGTGTAGAACTTGCTCATAAACTCGACCCAGTGCAGACGCAGTGTGTGCAGAAAGGCGGACAGACCCTCCATCATGACCATGATGGCAATGGTGAAGAACACCCAGACGGCGAAGATCAGGAAGACGGCAATGCAGCCCACCCAGCCGCCAATCTGCAAGGCCTCCGACAGCACCATGGTCCACAAGACCTCAGACAGCTCTGTAAATATTTAGATTTTGGGTAAATCCCACGAAATCCTTCGTCCGTAAACTCACCCGCATGAGCCAGAGACAGAGCCCAGAGACGCAGATAGGAAGCTGTATGGGAGATGGTACTCAGAATATACTCCACAGTGTGTATGGCCTGATGTATCCAGATTTCGCTCATTGGCTCCTCCTCTTCCTCCTCCTCCTGGCCACCCGGCGCCAGCTTGTGCGGCTCCACCTCCGTTATGATGACCTCCTTGCCAGAGATCTCAATGGTCTCCATGATGGTATCGCCCGTATATTCGAACTTGTCGCCCTTTCAAACAGAATTCTAAAGATCCAAATCGAAACTCAGATCTAGCATGGCTTACCCTGTACTTGCGCTTGATGATCGTCCAAATGGGCACGCCCAGCAGGATCCAGGGTATGCATATGATGGCCACGACAAACAGTATGGTCTCCAGCTCTCTTTGCACCGGGAACATGGTGGGCATGCAGCCCGCGGCCGGCACCTCGGTCTTCATCAGGATCATGTCGATGAACATGATCAGGACGGACGGCGCACAGCCTGGGGAATCGGCAATGTTCTTGGCACTGGGCGAGTACTGCACCCACTTGTAGAACATCATGAAGACCATGTAGCCGAACAGCATCAGGAGGAAGACAACTTGGGGAATGAACTGCAGGAAAATGTACGAATATTTCTTTTTGTACACGAAATTCTCCACCGAGAGGCAAACGCCAAAGATCATGTGCAGCACGCCAAATATGATGGATAGCTTCATCTTGTAGGTGTTCAGGAAGATGATCTTATTCGTGGCCGACTGCCAAATGGGGTCAATGCCCATGGGGTAGGTGCCCCGCTGGTCGGTCGTCGGGTTCAGCTGCAGCGAGGGATTCGTGAGCACCGTCGTCCGATTGTACTGGATGACCCAGTGCGTGCCGAACACATTGAACGACTTGGAGAAGCAATCGTTGTACATGAAGCCCGTGTAAACGGCAAACATGCCCATCAGCATTATGATATACCGGCCGCCGAACAGAATCTTCCAAATCTCGCCAGCGCGCTTCTTGATGAGCCGCTTCTCGTCCAGCACCATCCACAGGCCAAGCAGAAAGACCAGGAATCCGTGGCCCATGTCACCGAACATGACGGCGAACAGAAAGGGGAAGGTGATGCACGTGTACAGACCCGGATTCACCTCACGATACTCCGCCACGCCGTAGGCATCGATGAGCACCTGAAAGCCGTAGGTGAACTTGTTGGTGCGGAAGTACGTGGGCGGATCCTTCTTCGTCTCGAGTATGTTGAATATCGTCGGCACTGTGCTGCCCAGGGCCAGCGACGCCTCCGACAGCACCGTCTCCACCTCCTCGAGATCGCGCTCGGGCACCCAGCACTCGCCGATCATGCACTTGCTGCCCAGATCCACATTGAACAGGTTCAGCGTGTGGTAGATGGCCTTCATTTTCTTGACCATGGCCGTCCAGCTGGGCAGCTGCTTCTTGATCGCCTTCAGCACACAGGAGCGATGGTCCTCTGTCTGGTTGATGATGACCGTCAGATCGTCGAGCCGTACACGCACGCTCTTAATCATGTCCATGCGCTCGCGGTGCGAGCTGGGACACGGATACATGGTGGCATGGAAGCCGGTGCACACCTTGCGGATGCGACCCTGCAGCTGGTCGCCCTGAAAGAAGACAACAAAGATACTCTTGCAGACCATCTCGCCCGTCTTGGGATCCTTGACGGGCTCCTCCATGTCGCAGCTGCGCACCAGGACATTACCGCGCGAAATGCGCCAGAGCATCCGCTCGAAGCCGTACTGCAAAGATTTATACACGTCAATTAGATATTACGAGGATGAGCCGTAAGACATCCGCCGCACCATTCGCTCCCTGCGTATTACGCCCGCCACGAAGCCCAAGCGGCCGTCACATTGCTCCGGATCCCGGTGCGTGCCGCGCTTGTTCACATCAAAGTTGTGCGACTCCTGGTCGGAGAAGAACGAGTCCGTGCACTCCAGCACTTGAATCATCTCGCTCAACTCCAAGAAGTTCGTTTGCAAACGCACATTGTTCGTGGACAGCTCGATGATCTCTGTCTCGGTCTTCTCCAGCAGCGATTCCAGCTCTATGATCTCCTTTGGCCTGGGCGCGGGCGGAAAGTCTTCGATCAGATCGACCACCTTCAGGCCATCCTTGGCCAGCTCCGCCGTCGCATAGCGTATCTTCCGCTCCAGCTCATCGCAGCGCCGAACCTCGTTGACGAACTTGCGCTGGGTCGCCGAGACGCCCTCGTTCATCTGCAGGGGCGCAGGATAATTGCAATTACAATTCAAATGGAGTCAACTCAGATTATTCGCTGCTTGCTTACGTCACGGAACTGCACACAGCCCATCTCGCCCAGCTGTGCGATGGTCTCATAGGCCGCCTCTGGCTGCAGGAACATCTGGCCCAAGGACATCTTCTCGCTGCGGAATATGCTGTCCTGCGGCCCACTGCCGCACAGCAATCCTTTCAACTTGCTGCACATTTCGAATTCTCTTTAGACAACGACACCTCCGCACGCTTCAAAGACGGCCGGTGAACTGATCGTCGTGGTCAAGTGACTTCCCTCTTGAAGCCTTGCCCACCCAGAGCTGGACACATACATAATTATGTACAACTTTCCAGGCTTATCTGGCGAGCACATGCTCGGGATAAAGTATTACACAAGGTAAATAGAGCTGCTCGATGAGCCATCTATCAGCTGGACGGATGGGTCTGGTCTCTTATCTGTCTACTGGTTGATATCGTAGGCGCGCTCAGGGTATTAAAATCCAATTGGAAACCAATTAGAAACTATTCCAGTGAGCTCTTATGTACAGAATTCACTTTTCGTTTTTAGTTGTGAAACGTTTGTCAGTGAAAGAAGTTTGTAGTAAGGTTGTTTTGAAGTAGCTAGAAAAGAGCTGAGAAGTTTATGTAAATCTAGCTAGAGAATATAGAAATTTAGCTATGTTGCAATATAGACTTGATATCGACATATCGTTCTGCTGCCTGATATATAAGAAATTTTAAGGGTAAGCCCACTAAAATGTCATAAAAATCATGCGAATACATATATACCTAAATACTAGATCTTTGGCATTGTACATATGGTAGCTAATTACGGTCTTTCGCCTCGTAAATGACATATTCCAATATGTTAAGTACTATGTATTCCAATAAAACCAAAATCATAAAAAAATGCCAGCTGTTCATGATCTATAATGTAAGAAGCTCACATGATTTCCTTTACATATGTACATATATATGTATATAGATGTGCCTATGCTTTTACATTCATATATACAGTAGTATGTACATATGTATGTAAGCTTATTCAGATTACATGCATACATACTTTGAAAATGAGTACACATATATATATTCATATCATACATATATCTATTCTATTTATCTATCAATCGTATAAGTCTTTATGTACTTACGTCCATATCTATCTATCAATCTTATTTATACATGTCTATCACATATATGTACGTACATGTAGATATAGCTTTTTACATATACCCACACTCGCATACATGCATATCTGCATACAGCTATTTATATGTGGACTATTCTAACTTCCACAATTTAGTACTTTCTTTAGGCATACATATACATTATACAAATATATATACATACACATACATGATGCACATACATACATAGATAACATTAATAATAACTTTAATTCAAATTAGATACCCTCTAGTTAATAGATAAACCCAATGGAATTGCTTTTCTCTTCTTGCTTTATTGTTATGAAACTAGTTAACTAAATGATTAAAATTTATAATAAGGATATCGCAAGGCACACAAATATCATCAAGATAAATTTTAAACAGACATTAACCGAACTGATTTTTGTTCACTTATAAATTTGTTTAACAACGAATATCAAATTATTGCTTAAAACGGTTTGCCTTTTCTTTGAGAATAACATAACAAAGGACATGTGAAAACGGATGGAATACATTAAACTGAGGGAACATGTGGGAAGAGTACCACAATACTGACAGTATTGAGAAAACGAAACATATCAAACAAAACAAAATAATATATATGCATATATAAGTAGATATATATGATATTCATATAGTTGTGGCTATTGCTGTGGCGCGATCACTCCTCCTCTTCGCCATCGATGATTGCCTTGAAGCTGAAGGGCTGGAAGGCATAGCCCAAGCCTTCGTAGAACTTGCTCATGAACTCCACCCAGTGCAGACGCAGGGTGTGCAGGAAAGCAGACAGGCCCTCCATCATGACCAAGATGGCCAGAGTGAACAAGCACCAGGCGCCGAAGATGATGAACAGGCCAATGGCACCGGTATAGGGTGGCATTTTCAGAC